GTTTTTCCTAAGTAAAAGTGCCGCACAAGCTCTTGGTTAAGTTATGATAACAGTTTTACATTTGGCTTCTTATATTTAACATGTGTTCTAAATTCAGAATGTCTCATTCAACAAGGCTGCAAGTTTATCCACCGAATCAGTCATACATTAGAAAATATTAAGACAAGTGTGGTCCAAAAGAAGAACATTAACTGTCTTAAGAGTCAGTTGGAGTTGGATGGGTAATAAATTCAAATAAATAAATTTGAAATAGGAATAAGGAGTTAACAAAACTTTGAGTTTTATATTGGTGTAACTTTTGAGTTCTATTAGGTGAATCATATCTGGGCTGCAAAAATTCAGAGGCACTCTTTGCTCCTATCTATTAGTTGTCTGGATTTTTGCTGGCCAGATATGGCATGTCAAAATTCTATAATAATACCATGATAGTCATGACAAAGTATTCCAATTTCTGTTTTGATCCTATCAGTAGAAACTAAAATTAAGCAACCAAAATACCTCTTCAAAAATGTTCTTAGTCAACTCTAGATTCTGCATTAAAAGTCTGATTATTTATTGTTGTTTTACAGCAGCTGTTTCATACATGCATAACACCAACCCTGTCTAAATCTGTTAGTTTATGTGATAATGCTAAATTTAAGCACATCAGAAATTGGTCAAGCCGTTGCACCTAGATATACTTGAACTGCTTTAAGCCCCTGTTATTCGGACTAGCTTAAGAGCAGGGCTTAATAAGTGAGGAGATGAAGAGTTAGGCAGCAGTAGAATTGGAATTTTATTTGCATTGAGTTCTTGTAAATGCTTGAATTATCATTCAGGTAATATTATTAGTTTTGTCTTTTGTTTTTAAAAACTTCTTTTAAAAAAATTAGGTTATCGTGGAATAAAGTTTCAGAAGCAGGATCCACAGAGACATCTTGCACCAAGCCTTGTAATAAATGGCTACTATTCTAAACAATAATAAGAACATGAGAGCAACAGCATACAATTGCAATTGTTTTTCTCTCCTTATACTCAATGTATGACTTCTGCAGAAGAACTGAAGAACATTCCAGAGGATTATATTTTAAAAAGTGGATACATGTGCAACGTAAATAATGTTTCTTATAATTATTTGTTTTGTTTGGAGGAAAATAAAAGTTGAATTTTGTTAGAAGCTTTTTGATTATAGATTTAATACAAACTTATATACAAATACAAATATTTATATACAAATATTACGCACACACACACACCTATGTTCCCTCTAAAGCAAACAATGAAATATCACACACATATATGAGAAAGTTTACCGTTTGGGATACTACATGTATTCCTGATCTACTTCATCGCTACTAACCACACAAATTTGTAAACTACTATTAAACATTAGGAGAATAATGTAGCTAACTACTGAACAAATGTTCTCATACAGTAAGGACAAACAATAAGGTCATAGAAGGGAATATTCACACATTGTAAGCAGAGATACAAATACATTGTAAACTGAAATACTTTGTGTTACTTGTTTACCAAACTACAGCCTGTAGGTAACCATGAACAGATGTATATTCCTAGTGACTTGGGAAGGCTAGGGAGTGAAAATTGTGTTCATAAGAAATTCTTTATGTGAGATTTGAGAGGTTAAAAGAAGTTTCCTGTCTGCATAGTCAAAATATTATTGAAGCAATTCAAGTTGTCAGTAAAAGATTAAACCAATTTGCTGATAATCCTGTTAATGACCCAGGTCAAGTGTTAACTGTTGCAGGTTATAAAACAGTTAAATTAAGGTTGCCGATAACCTGGAGCAAATAGTATCATTACAGAAATAGATTAAGGGGGGAAAGTTACAAAATTGCAACTATTATTTATTTGGTTCATGATTCAAAAAGTGCAAAATTAAACATATTGAAACATTTCCAGTTTTAAAGAGTGGGCTATCTCTATTCCAAGAAATCTAGGATATTCTTTTTAAAAAGTACATCTTGAATAAAAAAAGGTGGAAAGTTATAAGTACATGCTTTCAGACTAAAATCTCTAACTGTATCATGCTTTTAAAAAATCTATTTAAATTTCAGCAAGGAATAAAGTCCATTATTCAGACATTAATTTGTCTAACATTTTACTATTATCAATTAGATGATTGACTTTTCACAACTTTTCTATTTATAATTAATACATTTAAAAACCATTTGAGATTCTTTAAATGGCTCTATGACTCAATACACAATATATATCCCTGGAACAGATTTTAATACTTATTATAAATAGCACTGAAGAAAATTACATTTCACCATCTCTTTGCTTAATTGGAGTTTCAGTGAAATGTATCATGTGGTCCCAACCACCGAATGGTGACAAAAGATTAAAATATAATATTTTGTATAATATGCTATATAAGCACAGCATTCAAATAGTGTGGGAAACAAATGTTTACTTAAAAAAAAAAAAACACCTAAAACTATTCTGTTAACACAAGTATATATTAGAGTAAACTCAATTCATGTAAACAATTTACTCTGGTGTTCTGCAGAGCCATAGATCTGAACCATAGATCATATGAAGAGCTCCAAATGTTTTTTTAAGTATTTATTCATTAATTCATCAGTAGATGGTGAAAGAAGGTGGTTTAATCTTTCTATGACCATTCAGAAATAGGTCCTATTACTTCAATATGGCTAACTTACAGGTAATTAAATACAACTGCAATTTTAGCTTCTGCATTCATATACATGTACATGTAATTCAAAAATAGTGATTCTTTTAAATCCATACTATTTGTTATTTTATAAACAGTTCAAACACAGGAAAATTATTACAAAATGCACTGTTTAAAACTATATGCTTATTATTAGGCTGTCTGAGGAAAAATTTAGTGCATTCAAACAAACACATTTTTCTATACTTTTTTTATTCTATATTTTCTCAAAGCCACCTAATTGTAATCACATAATTTTAAAACTTAATACTGCTTACAATATACTTATTTCAAAGTTTGGGCACTTTAAATAAACTGATGTTGATTAATAATTAAAAATTAATGATATAGCTAACATGACTAGATGATCATGATACTAAGGAAATCTGTACAGGATTTATTATTATCCACCCACCCCAAAAAGAAAGAAACAAAGAAAGGGGGGTGGGGGTGGGAATTGAACTACACAGACTGGAGAAAGAAAACATACCGTCCAAACAGTGTCATCTGTGGACAATGAATTCAATTTTCTGCCACATTCAAAAAGCATCAAAACAAATTCAGCAAATAACAGATCACATTATCAGATATAACAGATATAAACCCAAAGGGTTTATGTAGTATCAGTTGCTGTCTTAATATGTAATATGATTTGCTTGCCAGCAGACTAGATGGTTTATGGCTCTATTGTGTATTATCCATGAGTTTTGCTGATAAGAGTTTCACTCAACTCCAGAATGGCCTCTACAGATACTAGTGCTTTACTAGTCAACTGTAATAAAGAGATTTTGGATAGGCTACCCATGTTCTACTCATTATCTGGCTATACTATAATGAATCATAT